CTCTTCATCAGCTTTGGCTTCACGTGGCTGACGCTGCATAGGTTCTAAATAAAAATGTATAAAACATCTGGCCGAACAAAATAAATAAAACCATCAAAAAAGGAAAACGGCTTTAATTAGATGCACATCTTATTTTACACGTCCGTGGGCCTTGGTTCTGTTTGAAAACATCGTGTCCAATCGATAATTTGCTGACTGCACAAACTCTCCTCAATTTAGTCAATAAAAGAACTGTAAACACATTTTTAAATGACGCTGTAATCATACAAAGTAAATGATGCGGTCACAGGGCCTCTGGCGACTTTATAATGCATGTTTTACAAGCAAATATGTTGCTCGGCGAAGCACACATAAATCTATACATGCAATCAGCGCCAGATTCATATGTTTATCAGAGCCGCGGCGCCGATCGATACAACGAGAAGATCTTTACGCGACTCGTTTCCCTGTTGCTTCATCTCTCTGCGCTGCGTCGCACACGGAGAGGACTGGACGTAGCTCATCATCGTCCGCATCAAGTGATGCTTCGCCGTCAAACGGCAACACGTGTGCTTCCTCTCAGCGCACACACACACACGCGGACAGACACACACACACACACACACACAAAGAGACGAGTGTGTTCAGCGTGTGCGACATGAGGAAACAGCCCCGTCGTCACACAACACTCATATCTACACAGGAGATGCTGCCGTTCCCGTCTTTTGTCAGACGACCAGAGGGAAAATCTGCCGCCGCGGCTGAGTGATAGGCCGCCCTTTGTGACTGGGGGGGGGGCGGTGTGTGTGTGTGTGTGTGTGTGTGTGTGTGTTGGCTTTGGTGATGGGGCAGGAATGCCCTCACTGAGGAGGATCTGTTGCAGTAACTGCATTGTTATCCTGCCTCACTATTTTTATAGATGGAAGGGGGGTGGGAGCAGAAAGGGGAGAGGTGGGGGGGCAGGGAGGGGGTCTGTAATTTGGCCTGATGGGCTGAGGGGGTAATTAAGCCCACATTGACACTTTGATCTCCTTGATTGTGCATTTGACGGCCTGGAGATGAGCTACTAGCACCACTAACCCCCCCCGCCCCCAGAAATAAACCCTTTGTAGATAAGGAGGGGGGGGGGCTCTTGCCAAAAGTTGCCATGATACTCAGGGAAACTGGCTCTGGACTTTAGAGAAGCCGCCCGCCCCCAAAGTACCGGATAACATCGGGGGGAGTTTACAGCAAACGGGAGAAAACCCCCCCAACAAGCTGCTGCTCACCTGCAGCTTCAGACAATCGCACTTAATAAGGATCATCTGTGTCACGAATCAAACACCGTCCGTCCACCTTCAAATCCCAGCTGACTTCGGGCGAGAGAAATCACACACTAATTCGTTCATTTTCATTTTGCGACGGCGTGAAATGCACGCGTGGCATCGGCGGCGGACTGACGAGGCCGGTCGGTGCCGCGTCGGTTTCCTCGCGGGCGGATTTTCTGATTGAACGAGGAGCCTCGGAAGGGCCACAAGTGCCATAATCTCCACCGGACCCGAAGCCGTGGCAATTTTCTCCCGAAGGAAATGAGGATGTCGGGCTCAACATTTTCAAAAAGGACATTATCCCCCGCAGGTAAAGAGGATAAGATAGTGATGCCGACCCCTCAAAAGCCCTCATATAATCACAAGTGATTACTAATCAATGTGTCAATTACTTCTTTGGTGGGACCTTCGGGAAAGGATCCTCGCTCGCCGTGAGATTCAGCGCTCGACACTCAACAACTGCTCCTTTTCAAGCTTGAATACGTACAAGGGAAATGTGCTAAAGAAATAAAATAAAATACCAGCAAAAATTCTTCAAGATGGGAAAAATCTGTAACCACGTTGAATAAAATCAGTTACTGAGTCTGATGTATTTATTGTAGCACAACGTTATTACAAAAATACCTAAAAAAATGATGTCTATTGGAAATCTAATTCGAGGTTAATCGTAGCTGTCAAAGTGGATTTAAGCTGCCTGAATGAACTTTTATGCAAAAATACCACCGACGCACAATAATGAGCAATAAAAACAATGACACAGGGGTTTTATACAAAAGGTGAAACCAGATTATTGTGAGAGGAGGATTGGAACTGATGGACGCGACAATAATTATATATACTTAAGAAATGCTTTTTAACGTTGGTTAGGATTTGTGTACACACACACACACACACACACACACACACACACACACACACACACACACACACACACACACACACACACACACACACACACACAGTGAAAACACACATTTAATTTAATTTTCAAATGACTTTTCATCAATTTTCATCAACAATCGAACTCTTCAATGTCACAATTGATCTGGAACGTAAGAGTTCAGAAATGAGCCTGTTTAGTCTTTTTAACTCGAGTGATTTACACAAATAGGGAGCCGCTTTCTTTACATCTTCACCGTAAACCCTCACTGGCGCCGCGTGCTCCGATACGTTGTATCATGTCGCCATCTAGTGGTCACATGAGCTCACACACACACACACACACACACACACAGGAGGACGGCTTACCTGTTTGATAGGTATGGCCCTCCCACTGCCTATGCTGTCTGTTTTACTCTCAACGCTCTTTGCTTGTTCACTGGCTTTCCGTGACTGCGAGAAAACAAGAAAGTCAGTCAGCAACGGAAGCGGCAAACCGACGGCGAAGCGGCGTGTGAGGCGTGTGTGTGTGTGTGTGTGTGTGTGTGATGTGAGATGTGGGTGCGTGCTTGTGCATGATGGTGTGTGTGTGTGTGTGGGTGAGAGAGAGAGAGAGACTGCGGATGAAAGGGGGGAAGGTGAACCTTTTGCAGTATTTGTGGAGGACCTCGACGTTGCAAAATAAAAGTCTCAAAAAGAAGCTGGTAAATCAACAGACAAGCAGACCAGCGGAACAAACAGCAGTAACACCGACGTGCAACAGAACAAGAGACCAAACCAAGACCACGATAGACACATCTCAACACAGAGGAGACCAAGGACGACCACACATTGAGTCATGATTCAGCCCTGGATCCCCCCCCCCCCTGAGGGAGGGGGGGGCGGGGACCCGGATCGGGCCCTTAGTGGACCTGCAGAACCAACTGCAGTCGCGCTGACAAGCGCCCTGGCAGCAGGTTGAACACATTTCACTTCACATCAGGTTAGAAGGGAGAGAAGGGAAACGGGTTATTTCACAGGAGACTTTGGTTTGAGAAGCTTCCTCCGAACCTGCAGAAACCTGCTGGGACACAAAGTCACTTCTGCAAATGTCAAACAGGTCAAAGGTCAGGTTAATGAACAAGAACATTTCAAGTTTCAGGCCGTGCCTGTTTGTCTGTGTGTGTGTGTGTGTGGGGGGAGAAAAGTGGTTAGACGGTAAATATTACTTTATATGGAAATTGAAAATGAAAGTAGCTTCCCACCCCACAAACAAGCGCTGTGATACAAGTAGAGACAGACATGAGTGTGTATGGTCTCACTCAGAACATGAGAGATGTCCAGTCACCAATGGAGAAGAGGTAGAGTCCGAGTTCAAGTAAACCAACTCTGGGGTTTATATTTTTTCCAACAGTTTATTTTTTTTTAATGATGACTTGTTTAGCTTCTATACAGACACCATACAAAGCAAGTCACAAATTCACTTCAAAATATTCAACAGATTGAGCCAAACATTGCAGTTCCCACAAAATATAGGATGAACAATAAAGGCATTATTTCATATACTCCTTATATGTATGTACTTTGTATAGAGTACCATCGTAAATAAAATACAATACAAGATATACAGCAGTCTATATTTTCGTCAATCGGTTCATGATAGAAAAGCGATTATGCAAGAGCTCATAATCTTTGTACCAAACCTAAACCCGAGGAAAAGGGAAATAAATAATAAATAAAGACAATCGAAGGTGCAAAAATGAATAAATTCAAATAAATAAATAAAAGGGAAAAACAAATGTTAAGTTGAACTACATTCACACAGGTCGGTGCAACCCGGTTCCCCCTCTGTAACCTCGACACGCTACCCTGGTTTTTATGAAGGCCTTCATAAAATAACCCCACCTCCGTGATAGTCCCACATGTTCAATTCCATTCAACACTCCCTGGAAAATAAGAAGGAATCAAATAAAAAACCAACCCAAAGAACGTCGGGAAAATCGAAAAAAGGAAGAACGAAAAAAAAACCCCACCAACAACAGAACACAATTCTAAAACCTTTTCCTTGCCTCTTGTGGTGTTCTTTTTTTTTGAGAAACGCGCCGGGTTTCCGTCAACAGAGTGGGTTTCTCTCGCGGGCTTGGGGTCACTTTTCCAAAAAGCTTAGTTGTCTTTTCTAGACAGGATAGGGGGGGGGGGGGGAGCCAGTGCGGGGTTCTAATTGGGATTTTGGGGGGTGGAGGAGGCGGGGCCAAAGGGGAGGGGGGGGGAGGAGGGGGGCTTTTCCAGAAGAGTCCCTAGAGTCTGTTTCACCTGCTGATACCGAGACGCAAAAAGCTCCTACAGTTTCCGTCTAGCGCAAGAATGTTCGGTGCATTACCCAGAATGCCTCAGTCAGCACGAACACGCTCCTCTATCCTGACGGGCGAAGCAGGGCGACTCGGACTCTAATTCGGAAGGAGTTGGAAAGCCCTTTTTTCGTTGAAGGAAGGTTGGAAACAGAAGCACAGATCCGCGATGTTTGAAGTTTTCTTTTTGTGTTTTTTTTGTTCGTTTTGGTTTGTGTTCCGTTTCGTTTCGCGACGCGGAGATCTGGTGGATGTTTTAGGGGACTAAAAACATGGAATGGGACACGTCAAATGTCAGACACGGATACGTGGATGAAATGAGGACGACGGGGGGGGGGGGGGGGGATGAGCGGGAATTGGAATTAGGTATAAAAAAATGTCGTGGTGCTCGTCTAAATTCCTTAAGCGGCGCGCTTTCCGACACTAGAAGGGGCCGACGCACAGATTACAGGTACTGACCATGGAAGCGCTAGGAAAGAATAGCGTGCGCGGTGCTGACACCCAGTGGGCCGGGACGGGATGAAATGAGCGAGGTTGGCCGGGGTTGATTGTGAAGCGACGGCGAGGTGAGATCTTCCGTAGTAAAGCTTTGAGTTTCATTCGTTCGTTATAGAAAAAGATTCAGCTACTTCAAGGGGTCGAACCACACCGCGTGTTTTTGTTGTCGGATTAAACTCATGTTAGTTTTAACTCTATAAACAGGGTAAAAGGGGTTTTATTGAGTCCCGATGGCCTCAAATGTGCCAATTCTTATTTGTGCATCCGATTGCATGTGGAGATTTAACGTTCTGCCTCATCGGAGCAGAAGCATTGGATGTGACGACTGCAGCCAGTCGGGTGTCGCTCGTCCACTCGTGAGATTAAGGCATATTTCCATTCATTCGATACTTTGCTCCCCAACATGAACATGAAGTGATCTACTTACACCAGCGTGGCTAGAAAGGTGAAGCGGGCAGCAGCAGCCCTTCTACGGAACGTCGACTATTCTTTTTTTTTTTTTTTTTTTTTTACGCACAAAGCTGGAAACGGACGTCCTGGATGTCGTCGCGCTGATGGAGCGTTTTTCCTCTTTCTGGTGTTTCTTGTAAGCGCGATCCGTCCTCTCCTCAAAGTCACTGAAGAAATGTCGACCTCGCCCACCAACACCTTCCGTCTCCCCCCCTCCTCCCCCTCCTCCTCCTCCTCCTCCCCCCTCTCCTCTCCTCTCCCACCCCCGCGGCTCGCTGCTCCTCAGAAGGTCATGAGCTGAAACTCCCGCTCGGCCTGCCACTCCGGCACCCACACCGGGTAGGTGGCGTGCTTCGGTATCTCCATGACGCGGACGGGCAGTGGCTCATTTCTCTGGTGGACATGGTTAGTCACTACCTAGCAGGGGGGGAAGGGAGACAACAAGGGGAGCTAGCACACGGCCCGTACTGCTCGGAGGCCACGAGGAGGCCTGCGGCTCCCACAGCAGCTGGGGGGTATCGGGGCGACGGGGGAGTGGTGGGGGGGGGGGGGGAGGAGGGGGAGTTAGTTAGAGAGAGAGAGAGAGGGAGAAGGAAGGAGAGAGGGGTGGAGGACAGGAAAGAGAGAAGAAGGAAAGGTGGGGATGTAGGAGGGTAGGAAAGGAGTCGTCTCACGTAGCCTGATCTCTCACGGAACGCGCGGATTCCCCGGAGAAGAAAAAGCCGGCGGCGGCGGCCGGAAACACTCGTCGGCTTCATTTCTGGAGGCACAAAGCGGCCGAAGTCCGAGGAACTAGTTCACTGATCTGAAGGACGGCCAAAAGGGAATCCGCCGACCTCCCCGAGCGCGAGAGAGGCGGACTACGTGAGATTAGGAGAAGGCTTAGCAGCAGAGGAGGGGGAGGCTGGGGGGGTGGGAGGGGGGAGACGGGGGGGGAGCAGGCCGGGTGGAAGAAGAGGGCAGAGGCTACAGGTAAAAGACAAGCGCAGGACGGCTACGGAGAATAGAGCGGTTAGTGCACACACACGCTAACTGGTTAGAGCGAGAGGGCCAATACGACAGGACACGGGGGGGGGGGAAGAGGGGGGCAGACAGGGGGCCGGGGTCTGGGGCGGAGCAGAAGGTCTGGGGGGCAGTTATCTAGACTCGGCGGGGCGGTTAGGGGGGTGGAGGGGCTTCCTATCTGCAGATGGGGCGGCGCTGGGGAGGCGAGGGCATGCGTTACTAGCGGCGCGCTAACAGGCCGCAGGCTGGCTAGTTTAGCTCGGTGGGGCAGGAGGACGGAGGGGGGGGGACAGGGACGGGGGGGTGTGGGGGCAGCACGCACGGTTTTGTTGCTGCCGTTTCTGCCCAAAAGGAAAGTCACTGCATAGAAAGGATCTAGTAAAAGATAAGAGAAGGGGGGGGGGGGGGTCAGAGATTTAGACAGAGGGTCCGGCTGGTTGTGCGTGAGATGAGATACGACGTAATAACTCACTACATCCAATCAGAGAAGAGGACACGGATTTGTTTTAGACACAGTGATCTTTGATATTTGCTTTTTTCGGGGGAATCTACTAGAATTTCTACTTTGTCTCTTTCTCCCTTTGCCCTTTCGGCGCCGCGTGAACGAAGACGCCTTCTTTCCCTGTAGCCTGCATGGGAGGCAGGAGAGGCGGCTGTGACGCACTTCCGGGCGGCCCGTCTCCCCCAGGAGGGAGGAGGAGGGGGGGAGGGGGGGGGAGGGGAGGGAGGGGGGCAAAGTGTGCCTCCTAATAGTGTGAGTGGGTGGTGCTCTGCATCAGCTGTCGCATACTTACTGTGAAAATGTTGGAGCGGCGCTTCCACTGCTTGCGGACGGGCGTGGGCGTGTTGGAAGAGGCGATGGTCTCAATGCGCATCTCCCCGCTGACCTATGCTGGGGGTGGAGGGGACGGAAGAAGAGTAGTCGCTGAATGCGCCCCCGCCGTTGGCCGCCTGGTGGGGGGGGCGAGAGAGAGATATAAAAGAGCCCACCGGGGGAGAAGGGGGGAGGAGAAAGAGAAAGATGCAAAAAATGAAGGGCCTTCCCATCTAATTGTATCACGCTGGGGAATGATAGGCGATGACAGAGCGGGGTTACATAAAAAGCGGAAATAAGGGCCGTTGTGCGGCTAACGGAAGGGGGGTGCCCCGCCTGCAAGCCGGAGCGGGCTGCTGCCTCTCACTTTGTTTGATGGTGAACCCAGAGATAGAGCGCCGGGCACAGGACCAGTGGCTCGGGGAGATTGGGCCAGAATTTTGCACGGGCCCGATGAGAAGCTTGCTGCTTTTTCCTCATGGGCCACAACCTTCTGGGCGAATTGGGAAAAAGACCGGCGACACGTTGCTCAAGGGACCCCCTTCAGTGAACACCAACTCGGCGGGATGATTGGAACTTCTGAGGCCTACAGGGGACCCACAGCGGCTCTGCGGATATTACTTACATTCTCCTCGGCGGAACGCTCACTACTGACCTCATAATAATTCACATTCTAGTGGGATTAAGCAGAAGACGTGCTAATGAAGGTCAAAGGGTCAGTGCCTTGTTTGGTAGGTAATGAGGAGACAGAACCTGGTCCTTTATATGTAATATATCATATATCTGGTACAGAGGGTGACAGCGGTTCCGCTTTGCTTCTATTCAAGGAGAAAGCTCGTTCCAGCCAGCCGCGGAGACGCAAATGAGCGCATTCGTTTCCTCGTGAGGGAAATGAGCGACGCGCTGCGTCTCGTGAGAGAAGAACGACGCTCTCCAGAGGGAACGTGGCCAAATGAGACCCTTCCCATCCTCCCGAACGCAGCATGAGTCGCCGGGGTCGATTTCACGACTCCAATTGAGGATTCAGGGCGAAAGATGGACTTCCCACTGCTGCTCCCAGAGGATATAATATAGAATATATATAAAGAATATGAGTGTGCGCGCGCACCGCTCAGCGGCAGGACGGACTTTCCAGTTAGCAAGTGTAGTGGGAGGAAGAAATTACACGTAACCATCAGGGAAAAAGACTTGAGGTTGATCCAAAATGATAGAAGTGGATCGTAAACTTTGCCGCAGGAACAGATTCAGAATTTATCTGGTTGTACAGAATAATTAACTTTTTTTTTTAAACCATTTTCTGGGCATCTAATTTGAAATGATGGTTTGTACTTTTGTTCGCTTTGAGTGAAGCACGTGAATAAGAACATAATAAATACGCACAATAGATTAAACAGATCTATTTTTTCCTACTACGCATCACAAAATGTAACCAAATATTCTGATAGGATCAGTCATGTATTTCTGCCCCTTCTGTTGGAAGCCCCCCCCTCACCGTCCTGGAAGACCCTCTCCACGTTGAGGCCGTAGGTGGAGCAGGTCTCGTAGTAGGTGCAGCGCTTCAGGTCGTTGGACAGCTTCCTGGCCCGCGAGTCATCGATCACTCTGGGGTTGGCGGCGCTGATCGCGTCTGAGAGGAGAGTGCAAGAAGACACGCCAATAAAACAGTTCACTTCCGGGACGCGGCCGGCGATATTCTGCCCCTTTGTTTGCGTGAGTAGCTTATTTGTTGGGGGGCTGCTCTCAGCTGAGCGTTAACACACTGGAGGTGCATGAGAGTATCTCCAGCAGCAGGAGGGTGTGTGGGGGGGGAAAAGCACCTTGGGTTTCGACGAGGACCATGGGCACCTCGGCCGTGTTCCTGTAGCTGGACAGACGCAGGAAGTAGTTGTAGACGGTCTGGAAGCTGATCTCATCTTCTAGGCTGAAGACGAAGATCACGGCGTCTACTCAGGCAGCGAACTGAGGACGGAGCACAGGCGTCACGTTGGGCGGAGGTGAGGGGGGGCGGTGGGGAGTCTTTTCTGGGCGCGAAGTCGACCCTGTTTCCACACCCGTCACCCCTCGAGTCTCACCGCGCTCCAATGGATTCGAGCCTAAAGGTTCTTACTGCTCGGCGGCGCGGACCGGCACGGAGATTTATTACGAAGCGGCGCGCTGTGCTCATGTGGAAGCTCCGGCATCACTGTGGCGGAACGTTCTGAGCAGTTCATAAACGATCGCGGTACAAAATTCGATCCTAGAATACATTTTTAGATTTTTTTTAACAAGGTAATAAAACTTTTTTTCCGGAGGGAAAACCAAGATTTGAATAATTACATTGCAAAACTTTTTTTTCTTTTTCTTAAATGGATGCAATTTGTTCTTATAATGAACAGAAGTTCACACACGCAGACAGAAGGGGGCAGTGTTGCTGCTGCCACGAGAGCCAATCATTAAACTCGACTACTGCGTCCACATCTGTAGTTCCTCTGCAATCGTCGGATCTTTCTATCTGCAGCTCATGACCCACCGGGGGGGGCAATCGATCCCAATCACCGTTCATTGTAGGAAGGAGGCAAAGCGGAGCTGGTGACGCCCCCCCCCCCCCCCGGGCCTGGTCTCCATTCAGCTTTCACACCCCGCGCGGGACCCCGATAGGGACTGAAATCGAGACACGACTCAGTCCCCTGTGAACATATGGGAGGGCTTTAAACTACGCCGCTAAATGTACAGCCAGCTGACCGCTGAACTCATTCATGTTCCCCGACCCGAGCGAGCGGTCGATCCCCGCGCAGCTGGACACGTGTGACCAGAACACACACACACACACACACACACACACACATCTGCTGATTATTGGTTGGGCAGCGAAAACGAGTAAAATATCCCTGAACTAAGAATGGTACTCATGAAGCTCGTCCTTGGTCAAATGAAACTCCTACTCGACTGATTTTGTGGAAAGATCGATGTGTAAATAAGCATAAAACGAAACAAATGTAGGAAATAAAGCAGCCAGAGCCTGCAGGCCGTTCCTCCCCCACAGAGATCATCGTTTTCTCACCTGCAGCTCGGGAGGCCCCCCTTCGTCCCGGATCAGAAGCAGGTAGCTCTGGCCGTCCACCACGATCTCTTTCTTGAAGCGTCCGCCTGAGGGAGGACACATTCATCAAATGTCTGTTGTTGTTCCGTGAGGATTTGGGGAACGGGAGGACCGGTACCGGATGATATTGGAAGCTTATCTGGAGATGTAATAACTGACCAGCCGGGTTTCCCCGAGGAGGAAGGAAATCCTAAAAACAACCAGTATGTTCCAGATACTAAAGCTGAGCACAGCTCAACGTGGCCCACACAAGTTTGGTGAGATGAGTCTGAGTCTCAGTGGAGTTTACACCCCCCCAATGCGTTGCCGTGAGGACCGCGTGGCGACAGGAAGCCAGTCACGTGGCCGAGGGATCGCCATTTAGCGCCAGACCCCCCCCCCCCCCGAGCTTCACAGGACTGGCTTTTCACGGCATTAACGCAACTCATCGCACTCCGCCTGAATTAATACTCGATTCAAAAGAGACTAAAAGCAAAAGGAGCGGAAGCGACGGCGGAGGAGCCCGGCGGCGCCTCGGGGGAGAGCGGTGACGAGCTCGCGCTCGGGCCCCCGTGCAGCCTCCAGCGTCTCCCTCCTCCTCGCCACCTCCCCTCTTGACAGAAACGCACATTCCTCGCCGCTAGCGAGGCCGGCCTGCAGATCCAGAGGAGATCAACCAGGAGAACTGCGCGGTGAATTACGTTTCGCACATCATGTAGACGGTCTGGGATCCGGCAGAGATTAAAAACATGCAAATGAGAGCGTTGGCGAGGCCGGAGGTGTCGCTGGGTGCGAGCACAGCGCCTCACGAGTACCACGACACATCTGAGAGGTTCTAGGAATCATTTGGGGAACATTCGGACTGATGGAAAAGTACACCCGTTATATTTGCACGCGGGTGTCGTGAGTTGTAATGATTGTAATGCGATCGAGGGTCGGAGTTCACGTTGTGGAGCCACCGCGTCGAGAACGTCAGCCGGAGGAGCGCCGAGGGCCGTCCGGTCGCCGGCCTGCGACGCTTTAATAGGCGGAGCGCGTTCCAATCTCAGCGAGAAATATCCACTTCTGCACCGGCGCCCGAGTCCTGCAGGTTGTGTAACACACAGAGAGAGACACGTTCCACCGGCCAGCTTCTCTGTTTCAAGCTACGCGTCTCAGTGGGACGGACTGGATCAGAACCACGCGGGAGATTCATCACAATATGGAGCTCGGCGGCGCACGCCGAGCAGATCGCGCATCTCAGTCGTGTAATCACCCGGGACGCCGGCGTCTTTGTGTAGAGCCCGACCGACGCGGCGATTGTGTCAAACCGCAGCAGAAAGCCACAGTGGTGGTGGGCACGGTTAGCACGGTTAGCACGGTTAGCTCGCAGCGAGCATCAGCTCACTCAGACCCTGACACGGAGCCACAATCCAAACCGAGCTCCATCCGGTGTTGCCATGGCAACAAACCCCCGGTACCTTTTCTCTCTCTCTCTCTCTCCTGTTCTTGCTTCTCCCAGATATCATAGCAAGAGGCCGGGAACAGAAACACGGAGAGAAACAGCCGCCGCTGAGCCAGCGTCGAAGAATATGAATGAGTTGTTGTTCTTTTTGAACTAAACGCTGGAGAAGCTGCTCATGGTGGGAAAGCTTACGGCACGCCGGCCGAGCAAAGCGCCGGCGCATCAGAGCACATGGCATTCCTAGACTCATCCGCGCATTTTTCCACCACTGATTCCTCAGGGACTAATTAAGCCATAGCGATTTCTCCCTCCTCGGCGCAGCAAAATGCCAGTAAACTGATTATGCACTCGACGTCTCATCCTCACTATAATTACAGAGAACCCCTCAAAGATCAACGCCAGGTTTGCCAACATCTCTGAGAGGAGAAGGTGCCTTTCAGCCCACGAGGGGGCCTCCTCATTGTGATGCTGCTGATCAGTCGAAGGAGCGTTTCTCAGTGAAAATAGACCTCTGAAGTAAACTGACTCAATCTCCGTCAGGACAAACTGTTTGTGATTGTCAGCAGATCATTTTATTTCCAGTAAAGGCTTTAGTTTTACAATGACTAATCTTCACAGTCCTCGTTTAGTGGAAACGCTGCGCTTTGTCATTATCTCCCTCATCTCAGTGGAGGAGGAGAGAGCTCATTTATAAAAATGAACCAAGCCAATTATCGGCGTCGGCACATCGGGAGGCTTGATTTGATCCAACGCACAACATTTGAACACGAGCTAATTGGAGGAACAGCCTCACGAGGCGTCAGGTTCCACGTGAGCATCCTGGTGCACACGCCCTGATACGGTTATCCGTCCGTACCGCGATCCGCCCCGACGCGCTCCCCTTTCGCCCCGTGTGAAGCTAAAGAAAAGTAATTTACCAGCCGGCAGGTTTCTGTGTAATTACATTGTTGATTGTCGTCGAGCAACAAGGCCTCTGGTATTATACGAGAGGTTTTCATCAGTCGGTAGCCTCTTACCTTCAGGAGACTCCTCCTGCACGTACGTGCCCGTCAAGTACCGGTGGACCAAGGCAGACTTCCCGCTGGACAGATTTCCCACAATGCCCTGCAAGGCCAAGGGGAAAATATCTTGAATATTGTTGATGGACCAGAAGCATATGTAGAAATATATGAACGATCACGATGTTCATGATCAAAAAAACGTCAATATTAATATTGCAAAGACAATGAGGTTTTTGAGAGATTCCTTCACAGTGGATGAAGGCAAATATGAGAACAAATCTCAAGATGTCAATATATAACCTGCATGTTGCACAGTGCAAGGATAAGATAAAATAAGATTCTTTATCAGTAGGAAACCAAAAAAAAGCAAAAAAACAAACAACAATAGATAGAAACCGGTAAAGGTTTAATAAAAGAGTAAATTAAGGAACAGAGGTTACCAATAGTGCACGCGAATGAGTCTGAATCCATTACCGGCGTGACGGGTTACTTAAAACTAACCGTAACCCTCGGAAAATAACGATGGAAAGTAACAGAAAGTACTTTTGGTTTGACTGCGGCAGCTCGACACATTTTGAGGAAAGTCTCATTGTCATCGGGTTCCTCTAGACCGGATCCGGCTGCAGCGCCTCCGGGGCGATGCGAGGCGGGCCGATGATGCCAGCACGTCTGGGAAGAACAAAGGCTGCAACATGCCTCACCCCCCCCCCCCTCCTCTTCCTCGTCCTCCCACCGTCGCCCTCCTCTTCTTTGGATCATTAGTGGGTGAGACAGGTATGGTTGTAATTATAGGGAAGTTTGAGGCTCAAGAGAGAGGATCGGTTAGAGGCTTTTCCCCGGCCTTCCCGCTCTGTAATTGAGGTATAAATACACATTGTGTGGGACCCCAGCAGAATAGACTCTGAAGGAGCTCAAAGTTGAGGCAAAAGTTGTCGGCTGTGTGCGTCGAAAAGCAATGAGTCAACAACAATCGACTTTGAACGCAGCGTTCCTGCTGTTTTATCTCTTCGGCTTCGTGACCTGCTGGTATACGGCTGTTGTAAAAAAAAAAGAAGAAAAAAGCTGCATCAGCAGTATTTTAGTACAGAAGTTTTACGCTCCTTTGTAGCTGGTCGGGTTTGATCTGGGAAGACCGTGAGAGCGTGAAGTTAGCGATCAAAAGACGGCAGCGAACCAGGACTTGACCACAGTTTAGTCGCCGTCATTAAAAACTACAAGACGCAGAAAAGGTTTTGACTTCACGTCGTCATCAGCAGCGGAGGAGAAGAAACAGATGTTCAAAAGCTTCTGAGCACATCCTCTTCTCACTGTGACCTTGTTGCTGAACGGCAGAATTCTTTGAAGCGGCTGATTAACACCTGAGAATAAAGAAGAAGGAACGGGGGAAACATTTGAAGCGACTCGAGGCCTTTTGTTTCTGAGCTCAGGAAACACGCTGACATCCGAAAACAGCGACGTCCCCCGAACACGGAGGCGCCAGTCGGCTGTGAGCGGCACCACGCCACGTGAGGGTGTTACTCGTTCACCCGGCCTGCGTGTGCGCTTCCCCGGCGCCGGGGATCGGGCCCCGGATGTGTCACCGCTCTGGCCCAGAACTGTCACTCACCCCGCGTCTCCATGCCGACGCATCTCATTAGCAATCGGGCCGGTACGCGCCGGGGAGAATTCGCGGCGGTTCTCAGTCTCGTACGAGGACCGAACATGCTTAACCTTTTGGCATTTAAAAAAACGAGATGAAAATAAATAGAGGGACTGTTAATAAGGAGCCACTCACCACTTTGAGCTCCGGCACCGAGCGACTCAATGTCCACTCCTGGCTGTTGACGAAAGAGTCTGAAGAGGGAAAAGAGACAAAAAGAGAAATGAAGTCAAGCAGCGTTGAGAAGCAATCCGTCCGTTTGACCCCATGTGACCTCGGCCACACGTGACACGCTATTAACCGCCATTCCCCCGTTGGATGGATGGAGGGAAAGTGCTTCGTGGCTGCCGTTGATTTGCAGCTTCACGATTTCTTGCTCTCCGGTCGACCTTCACGCAGTTCACTGAAGACCTGTCGCGTCACGCTGGGCCCAGAGTGTAACGGGTCAAATGGGCCGCTGAAGATGAGAGGCTTTCATACCGGCACAGACGGTCCTGCACTCCGGCGAAGCAACCCGTCTCTTCGTAAGAGACAGCGATTTAACACTTTAGAGCTGCAGAAAATGGTCGAAAGCCATTTTGAGGCTGCGATAGGATAAAGAAATGGGTACATGGTGGTGAAAGTGAACATCTTGTTTTTGTTCAGTTAATAAGCAAACTTATTCTCACTACATTCTCTTTAAACTAACCGCCGACCTGGTTAGTTTATGTGTTAGTGGCTGTGACTGAATAACACGGGCTGTTTCAACACAGAAGAGGATCTAATCCACTTCCTGAGAGACGCCCGTCATGAGGCCTGACTCGACTTGTCGGGATTTCCGGCGACATTTGGAGACTTGGACCGGAGAACGACACAAACAGAGTCCGACTCGCGCTTCCCACGGGGATAAAATACACAACTGTGCGTCATGACAACCGTTACAACAAAATAGCCCCTTCCAGGGCGAAGAACCCGATCTGAGGGAGGGAGAGAGACGAGGTGTGTGATGCCAGGTGAACACCCCCCCTCCCCCTCTCCCCTCCCCCCAAATTCCTTTACCTTCCAGCATTAGGGTAGCCCCCCCCCCCTCACCCCCCTCACCGCCTCCCTCCAAAGTTTACTTTTTTCAGAGATCGCCTTACAAAGAGCGACATGCCGCTCGTGTGTGTCTCTCTTGTTGTGGGAGAGAAGAAAAGGAGGCTTTTCAGCAGGCGGCATTGTGTGGCTCTCTCTCCCCCCTCTCTCTCTCTCTCTCCCCCCTCCCTCTCTCCCTCTCGCTCGTGTCTGGACACGAAGTCGGATTCAGACGCAGGTCTGACTGGCTTTGCATCAGTTGTAAGTCGCTGCCTAATTTCCTTCCAATCTGCGAGGAGCCGTTATTTACAGCGGTTATATATTTTACATGTAATTGGGAGGTTAATAAAAAGCCACGAGAAGCAATTTGAGGAGCACATCGAGGTTGTAATCTTAGTGCTTATAGTCACGCTGAGGAATAATCAATGAATAGAGAAATAAACAGACAATAAAGTAAATCTGCAAAACCAACAGCCTCCAGATGCACAGATGTTTCTCCCCCATCGGCCTCGCTCACTAATGGAGACATTCAGAGAGGGACGACTTCAGATGAACGGAGACGAAGGCTGCTGGTATTTCTGGAGCCGCACAGTCGACCGATTATCGATCACGGAGACAATCTCAGAGGAGACGAGGACGTGACAGACGAAGAGAGGATCTTAATCGGAACCATGTTTCCCTGTTACGTCATTACTCAGAAGTCCCAGAATGCCCGTGGGGAGCTTAGAGAGGACACCGGCGTCTTTGTCTCGGCGGGGGGGGGGGGAGCTGCGCGGGCGGCTTGTTTGTTTTTCACTTCGCCGCTTCACGTCTACTCGAGTTTAGAGAAGGACAATCGCCCCCCGTCCCCTCCCCGTCCCCCCCCCACACAGACTTATTCCATTCCAGAGGGAACCACATGCGTGTGGTTGTCCGTGTGCGTGTGCACGCGAGCGTTTCCACGTGCAGACGGAGGCGTGCGCGTGAGGTCAGAGCGTCCCCCTCCAGCCTGGCCCCCCCCCCCGTCACAAATTACAGAGTGAGACGTTAGCTAGCAATTAGCTTTAGCAACCCGCCAACCCCACGGGACAACCGACATTCCGCCGCCGGCCGGCTCTCATCGTGCCCGTGTTGACGGAATGGCGGCGCGCCCGTATTCCTCCGCGGAGGCGCTGACGGGCCGACGGTCTCGTCTCTGAACGCCAGGTCTCTCCGGCAGAGAACAAGGTGAAAGGTCAGCGTGCTCCGGCGTATCGTTTGACAAGAGATCGGCAACTTGGGTTAAGAGACGCGTCGACGAGAAGAACGGGTCGGAGCGAGCGAAGCGAAGGAGGATCTACGACCTGGTGAGACGCTAACGGCGTCGTCCCCGTGAACAGAATGTACCCTGGCTGGGGTTTGCAGTGGCAGACGCTCAAACGCCAGATATGTTCGCTCATTAACGCTCAAGCTTTTCAATATCGTGCTTTCCCCGTCTTTCTCCTGCAGCAGGCGGGCGGCGAGGGGAGGGGGGACTCGTCAAAGTGTTACTGTTTGGCCCAATTTCTCTTAAAGTGTCTATTCATCTGAAACTTAATCACCTGCCGGGAGTCTGGCTCCCCCTCGCCTGCTGGGAGAAGCAGATGCCGCCGTTGGAATCAATTTTCAATGTCAAGATTTGGAAGGAGGATGAAAAAAAGAAGAGGAAGAAGTTCTCCGCTGAGAAGTGAAGTTTGAAACAGGAAACGTGGCTGGCGGGGATTCACGGGACGCGAGGACGCGGCGTCTTCATCATTACGTCTCGGGACAAAACAAATATGGCCGACAAACAGATGATAACAAGTGAAGATAAATATGCGGCGGCGAGCCTCTTTTCCCTCCTCATCTTTGTCTCTTGTCTGTCACTTGTTCGTTAGTGCACTTTATGCTTAATATTTTTCTTTTTAACTTTTTTAATATTTAAAATGTTTAACTTTATTCCCTTGTTTTATACTAACCCATAGCCTTATTCTACTAACCCATTGCATCAGCATTTCATTTTACTTTATTTTATTACTTGTGCACTGCTGTCTTGTCTGTCTACTGTCGCGCACTAACCGCCAAGACAAATTCCTTGTATGTTTGACATATTTTGGCAAATAAATGTTTCCTGATTCCTGATTCTCGGCATTTCAGCCTCCAGCGTGACCACCTAGGACCCCCCCTCCCCCAGGGAGCCCCCCGTCCCTGCACACGGCTCACTGATCACTCGTGGCTCCACAGAGCGCCTTTGTTCATCCGCAGGTGGGGGGGTGGGGGACGCAGCGCGCACACCTTAAAACCCGTCACCCCCCCCCAGAGAAGCTTTGGGTTGAGAAGTCACCAGGAAGCACTCAGCGTGTGTGTGTGTTTAGTTGTGTGAGTGCTGCGCTGTGGCTTTCTGGGTCTAATTTAGGGGCAAACAGTCAGGGCAGGTAGCAACAGGCGGCGAGGCCCCGCCCTGAGCGCCGCGCGCCGCTCGGCCCCGCCGGCGCACCTACATTCCTGACGGCTGACTGGGGCGAATCTGCTGTGAAAGAAAAAGGAACGAGACCCACTTGACAGTCCACTCGGGGACACGTCTCCTTGGCGACGCAGACAGCGCTGCGAGATCAGCGAGGTCGAGCTCGCCGCCCCACGAGAACGAAAACATGCGCTTTGCCGCTTCACAGCTCGGCCTAATGAGAATAAGCAGCATGTGCGCCGTGGCATTAAGCCATCACAGGAACGAAGCAGTCCATTGATGCAGGTAGCTGCGGAGATTTGCCGCTCTCGGGCCTTCGCCTTCAAAACGGCGCCCAAGTCGTCTTCCTTTTCCCTCCGCATCCCTGCAGCACGTGAGCCCTCCTTAATTTAGCCCCGCTAAGCAAATCCCCATCACAGCCACTAGCCCTGCGAGGCTTCGCGTCCTCCGACAGACGCCTGGGACTCCGTTGCGCCACGTAGTTGCGCCCCCGCTGCAAGACACGCGCGATTATGCTGCGCTCTCATCAGCCGCCCCGCCGATTCGGGGTTAGCTGCGCTCAGCCACTCGTTTTCCTGAGCTTCGTCGAAATGCACGCGAGGCAAATTAGCCGCGGCGTAAGTGCTTGCACACAGGCAGCTCACAAGTGAAAAGCACTGGAGAGACGAAGGGCCCGAAATAGAAATTCCAAAACGGGCTCTCTGGAACCAGAGGTTTTTTTGAACGCCATCCAAACGCACGATCCCCCATGTGTTTTTCATTTGCCCGTCCCTCTGAGAGAAAACGTGCACTTCCCTTTCTCTCTCTTTGAGCTGCAGCGTTCTGTGCAGTGGAGGAGGGGCGGCAAACTGAGAACTGAGCTGGGAAATAAATTCAGCAGGTCTTACCTTGACCTTTGTGGGAGTCAATGCCCGCCGGCGTCTCCATGGAGACCGGCTGGGGCTTATTATCCCCTTCCGGGGGACGTTTGCCAGCGCCCGGCTGCTCCTTCCTCCTGAAGCGGTTGGCTATGAGCTGCCACAGGCTCGGTTCTTCTGCAGCCGCTCTGGAGGACAGTTTGGTCGGGCAGACGGGTACCTCCATTACCTTGACCTTTCCCATGCTGTGGTAATGGATGTAGTGCGTGCCGCCGCCCTCAATCTGCTCACTGGACGCCGGAAGCATTCTCCCCGTGAGGTACGAGAACGGCCTCGCAGGCGTCGCCGTGTCCTCGGCCGCACTTTTAGTCCGAGAGTTGTCGTTTGCTTTGTCCCGAGGACGAGTCCTCCTGATTCGCAGGCTGAGGCTCCTTCTCAGGGAGCTCAGCGTGCCCTTCGGCGCTTCGGGTTTGCTGGATTTGTCGTCTTTGTCACCATCGCCCTCCTTGCTCTTATCCTGAGGCGCTTTGCCAAAGAGCCTCCAGCGGAAGCTCCCCTTGAGGACGCCCCCTCCGTCGCTGCCCGCCTGGTCGCTCCTCTGGCCGTCCACCTCTTCGTCGGAGCCCCTCTTTCTTAGCTCCAGCACCGTCATGCTGACGGGTCGGGGCTTGCCGCTCCTCTGGCGCGCCCTGGGGATCACCTCCACGGGGGACGAAGGCCGCGGAGCCGCCACGGCACCGAGGCCGTCCACAGCCCTCAGCTCGGCCTTCCTGCTCCGGTTCTGCTGGCTGTTTTCCGGCGGGCCCGCCCCGCCGAAGGGCTGCTGGCTCCGGGTGTCCGACTGGACCGAGCCCGCCGCCGCCAGCATGCACACGCTCCTGGGCCTCCGCAGACGCCTTTCCTGCTCGAGTTGACAGTCTCTCCGCTGCTCGACGGGGTCGCCGTACATGCTCACCGCTGTCCTGCGCGGCGCGGCTTCGTCCCGCCGCGACCTCCGCAGCGAGGGCCGGGGCAGCGAGCCGTGCCCCGCGAAAGGGCCATGGTCGCCCAGGACGAGCCCCCTGGCGCGGTCGGTGACGGATCGCAGGGTCGAGCTGTGAGCGGCCGGCTCTGCCACGTCTGCGCCTCGCCGTGAAGAGGCACCCGGGTACCTGCGAGGCGGTTTCCAAAACCTGTCTGTCTTCATTTTTGCCTCCACCTCTTCCAGCTCCTCCTCATTTTCCTCCACAACTACTTCCTCTCTTGGCCTCCCAGCCCCACCTGAGCGGCTCGGGGAGGGCCACCTGTCGGGCTCGTGCCGTGCCCTGCCCGCCCTGGGGCTGCTCTCCATTGGCACCACACTAATCATCTCTCCCCTCGGCCGCGGATCCTCATCCCGCCGCGCTCCCGGCTCGGACGCCGGCGCATCTCCTCCCTGCGGCTCGCTCGGGATCGCGCAGACGTGGTAGGCGCTTTTCCCCGGTTGGCCATCGGCTGTACTCCTCGGGGTCACATCCGCCGTCCCGCTGCTGAGGAAGAGCATTGCACCCCGCCGTCGCTGGCGTGTCCCACTGGCCGCTGCTCACATTCTCAGTCGCTGAGATTCAGCTCACGAAGTCCTTCGGTTGAAAACCAAATTCCTGTGCCAGGCGTAATCCTTCACCTCTGACATGGGGGGGGGGAACTTCAAAGTTGCATCCTCTGGCCCCTCGGCTCACACAGGCAGAGGAACAACAGGAAAACCGGTGATCCGACGCTCCTTTTGCAACAACGGCGGTTGCAACTGTAGTGAAAAAAAACGAAGGCGCCGTGAGCAGCCTCCGTTGTCGGCGCCGCAGACAAACCCCCTTTAATCTCTGAGCCCTCGCCGTGCAGAGCGTGAGGGAGTGCGTCGCTGTTCGAACCTCCGGCTGCCTTCCAACCCCCGGGACACACGGAAAACAAGGAGCGGATCCCACAGGCTTTGGACACGCCCACCCGGTCTCTCCACAGCCCCCCCCCCCCGAGACACACAGAGACAAAAGAACACGAGGACCGGAGCTGATTGCACAAGGCTGTTATCAACAGAGACCATGAATGGACACTGTGTGTGTGTGTGTGTGTGTGTCGTCTGGAACACGGGGCAGGAAGGATGGAACGGGGCCACCGGCCACATTGTGCTGAAATAAAAGCTTCTAGAAAAGCAACACTTGGATCATTTTTTATTCAGAGGAGAAAAAAGTATGAAGAAGGGCCGCCTCTCGCTGCAGGCCCTTAACAAAGGATGCGTTTGTCAACAGCGCGCTCCGAGAGGCTCCCTCTGCTCGTGCCCCCGCGCAGTAGGAGCCACTCGGGTCGAAATGGAACAAAACCGCCTCGACGTTTCTCCCACTTCCTCTCCCTTCCTGCGGGTGTGCGATGAACTGAAACGGGGCCGCGAGCTGCATGAGGAGCTTCGTCTGAACCAGGCCAGAGGAGGGAGGAGGGAGGGGGGAAGGGGGGGGTCACGGCGCGGTTTGGGCCGGGACACCGCCCCTCTGTGGTCAGAGAGGGGAAGCGAACGGGCGAGACGTTCGCCGAACTTCCTCATGAGCAACGTTGTTTTTCTTAAAAAAGGGGCCTCAACATCAGAAGAACCACTCGGAACAAACTGTTGAAATGGAACCTTTGATTCGGAGACTTAATGTCACACCGCTGCGTTTCGCCTTCATCGCCAACGGGAAAGAGGGGGGGCGAAAGAAACCGAGAGCTGCCGATTGTCAGAGTGCGTCACTCAGGGAAATCCGGAGCAACTATAAAGCTGCAGTCCGAGCGTCACAGTGCCACTCGATTAAAACGCCTTATTTATTTATAGTAGACGTTGCTCAGACGGACAGATTACTGGCATTACGTCAAGCTCATCACGTACGTGCGCACCGATACTTGAGCTTTATTTTTTGCATCATTTCCCCTTTTGTGTCCTTATCAGCAGCAAGTGGCCCGACAATGACGACAATCCAAACTATGTCAGTTATCGTTCCACCACATGCAGTGGACACGCGATCACGATCTCTGAGAGAGCGTCACGTGACACCAGCGAAACGTGGAGATGCCTCCACCCAACGGGGGCCTCTACCTGTTTCAGGAAGGACGTGATGCTCGTCGACGAGCAGGCGGTCCTCTTCGCTCTGTTGGATCCGTCGCGTTATGTCTACGAACACCGAAGCACAGCAGCGTAGTTCGCCTGGAAGGGAGACTTCTTCAGGACTCCCCCTCTCCTCACGTCCGCCCTCCCTTCGCCTCTATCGGTCTCTAACGGCGTCCCGTGAGGGGTGAAGGAGTGGATCCTCCGTCGCCTCCGTGGTTGAATCACGAGATTTCAAAGCACTGCCGCAGCAACAGAGCTGCTGTTGTCCTCCTCCTCCGTCTCACAGCCAAATGTCCCCCCCCCCGAAGACGAATGTTGACGGGAGGGTTTCTCAGAAAAACGGGATTAGTGTGTTTTGAGGTTTCTTGAATGTGTGTGTGTGTCCGTCACCAACACGGTTACGTAGCTGGTTTCACAGCAGGACTTTAACCTTCTAGAGCCTCCTTCAAAATCAAGACCAGCACAAGAAGAGTCACCTGGACCAGCGGATCTCACACAATCCACAGACAGACAGAGGAGGATCAGAGCTCCTCTCCTAAATGCATCCAAGTCTACATACAGACTCCCACAAGAGAACTCTACACGGGTCAGAACCAGCGCCAGGAGGACAGATGTGCACGGGGGGGGGCGGGCGGTTTGGGAGGATTGGCATGAGGCCGGTAGGTGGTCGTGGTCGACCCGGTTCCCTTTTCTTCTTGTCAACAAGGTGTTTCTGACCTCATCCGCACGTACTCAAACAGCATCGCGACTCACACCTACACGAGCCTCCTCCTCCTCCTCCTCTTCCTCCTCCTGCTCCTCCTCCTCCTCCTCCTCCTCGGGTGCGTTACCTACATCCTGAAAACATGAACGTCCGCGTCAGCTGACCAGTGACTCACGGGGCTCAGCGGCGGTGAAGAAGGCAACGCGTCGCATCCAGCGCACGCGGCTTCCAATGACCCCGGATACCGTCGCCTGGCTTTCACTTTGTTTGCCAGCAGCTGTGGAATTATGTTGAGGGTTATTTCACGTATTACGAGGAGGGACGAAAACCAAAAGCATTTATCTATGTGGACATTGATCGGGTGACACGTCCGTTTTACTCTCCAAAGCAAAAGGATAATAAATTCTAACCACAACCAGAGCTCACTGACAACTGCAATTGCGTGTTTATATAAAATATGTAGTTATTAGTTTGCAAGTTGCTTCATTTTGAATGAAGACAAACACAAGGAGGTGTTTAGGTTCCCCGTGGGGGGGCTTATAAGAGAGAGAGAGATTTAAACAAACACTCCAGGGTGAGAAAAGGATGTTGGTCCACGTCCATTAATGTTTCCCATTAGTGTTTTATTTTCACGCCCTACAAAGTGAGCGATTTCAATGTATCTGAAGCTCACTAATCATGTCTCTGCTTGCAGGTATTGCGGCGTGCTGATAAGCTGCACTCATCCTGATGAGCCATAATCACTGCGGAGACTCAAAGCAGATGTTATGCATCAGGACTGAAGTGTGTGTCCGTTGTCTCTCCCCCGTCCCTTCTCTTACGTTACTGTGGACAACGTTCACGATCGTGTCGGTACAATAAAACGCGCGATGAGTCCGAGCTCGTTCATTGTGTTCTGACAAGAGATTCGTCTGTAAGAAGCGCAGGAAGGATCAACATCTGATGACAGCGCACGTGCTGTTGTCACTTTATACTTTAAATGTAGCACATGTAGTTTTATAAGCCATGTATTCGCTGGCTGATGCAGAACTAAGATTAAAAACATGCCGCTACATCTTAAGAGAGAAATGAGTGTGTGTGAGAGAGAGGGGGGGAGGGAAGGGGGGAGGGAAGGGGGGAGGGATCATGGCGGTTAATTAGTGTGGGCGGTCACGTTGGAGTTCCTCCGGAGCGCCGATGTTTTCCTCGGTGTGACTATTCTGCTCTGTGTGGCACAAATGAACTAAAAATCAATAAGTAAACGTATGACAACCGGATCAGTCAAACCGGGAAAATCCCTTAAAAGATCTGCTTCATAGATAAATTAAAATAAATAAAATCAGAAAATCTTTATGTAGAAATGGGAATCGCTTACAGGTGGAAAGCGAACATGTCATGTAATGTGATGTAAGCGCCTCTGCATGCAGTAACACACACACACACACACACACACACACACTAACGTGGGCTTTTGATTCTCCCTGTTGATGTAACAGCACCAGAGATCCGTCTTCGACTTCCCACTGTCCCAAAAAACCCACATGCGTTTACCAGACCTGCCCCCCGCCTGCCTGCCGGCGCGGCCGCTGGCCTCGTCTGTGCACGGCGAATAAGTCGGGAGGGCCGTGCACCGCGGCTACGGAGACAGAGGGTTTATGATAATCACGCCTGCAGTAGTGGCGCTGAGCGTGGGCGGAGAGCTCCTTAAAATTCAGCTGCACTGGCGACGAGCACTACGTCACCGTCGCTCCACTGCAGAGAAAATGATCGGCTCGAGGACGTCTGTGGGAGGCTGTGAAGAAAAAACGATTCCAGACGCTTCTGTCTCTAGAACTCAGGCTGAGAGAGGGGGGGGGGGGGGGGGGGGGTTGTGCGTTTGTGTGGTGTGCGTGGAGAGAAACGGCGAGCGAGTGAGATCGAATGGGAGGGAGGCAGTAACACAGTGTGTGTGCGTTTGTTTGCTTGTTGTGTTGCGTAACCTGAAGCCGTAGCAGCAAAACGCCGATGCCCACCGGCCGTTTTCTGCTCGTCCACGCTGACTGAACACGCCAACGTTGTGCACACCGGCCCGGATGCTCCATGACCCCCCCCCCCCCCAAAAACATGGCTATTCACCTGAAGGCGACGACATGCAAAGAAACAGAGAGGTCTCAGTGTGGATCTGGGAACGTTTGAGGGGAAACGCCGTCGGTGGAAGATGACACAGTGACCGGCGGGAGAAGGTGGGAGGAAGCTGCGGAGGAGACGCGAACGCTTCTACCGGCAGCTCCGTGTGGGCCGGTGGCTCCCGGTCCTCCTCCGCCTCCACACACCAGTTAGCGAACCCCCGCGTGCTTCTGGTCTCAGCGTTTCAAACTCGCCTTCATGCAACGGGACGCGGTGCTGCGCTCACCGTGGTGTCGGGGTAGTAAAGTAATGTCGGCGTTACGCGGCAGCGCGGAGAGACAAGCAGGCAGCGCAGGGACGCCTGACTTTAGAGAATCGATGTAGCAGAAACAACGACTACTGACGGCCGTGATGTGCAGTGATCTGTTGGCACATCCAGGACACCAAGGCAGGTCCAGACGGAGGCCCGTCGGCATCATTTGGAGCGTCTCGTGCCTCGCCTGCTTGCTCACCAACGTCCACGCCATCGTTCTGTTCGATCTTTCCGCGCTCGTTGCAAAAATCAGGGCCAGGAACAGCGACGCGATCGGGCACGAGCTCCCGTGTCATTTCCCACAGTCTCTTGTCTCGGCTCCTGTGAACGCCGAGAACACGTATTTACCAAGAAGCCGCTGACGCCTCCCCCCCCCCCCCACCTCCACCTGCCCCTCCCACCTGCCCCTATGGAGCAGCGGCTGACTGATGGTCCTCATTGGTTCCTGTCTAGCGATGGACCTCAGCTCTGCCACTGTCCCTGTTGGTGTCATTTGTGATCAGTTCGCAGATGCAGACACACTTTTTTTGGGGGGGGGGCGATCAGAGCAAAACGAGGCCTCTTCTCGTCCCCTGCCAGGGACGCCGGTGGAGGAAAACCTTTTCTGGTCGTGGGCCCGAGCTGCAGGATGGAGGTGGGCCAGGATTAAATCACACGCCCGAGTAGTATTTCCTGCAGGCTTTTTCTTTTGTTACAACGTCAACAGAGTCTGACATTACAACATGCAATCGCGTGTTCATATAAAAT